TCTTTGATTATTGTTCAGTTGCAACTTGACCCAAAACTGGCCTTAAACCAAGTTTGAATTGATAGGCCAAGATTAGAGTTCAATTTTTATGAGCAAATTGCCAGATTGGCTGAGTCATTTATATTCAGTATCTTGAACGCACCGATCCGGCTAACCCTGAAATCAATTTAAATTCAGATCAACCGAGCAGTACAGTAATACACCTACCTCACGGGTTATGTACATATAAATATTCCGACATATACAATCCAGTAGTGGCACTATGATGAAAAGATCAAGTTACAAATGTAGCTATCAGATTTATTATATCGAACAATGCTGAATTGCTGACCATCCCTTAGAGGAACAACCCTCTTCAATTACAATAAGACAGTATACACCAGACCAAGTAAATGTTACATGCCTAACCATTTTCTAACAATTAGAGGCTGAAAGCTGAAACACTAATCTGAATCATACCCTGATTAAGTCTTTATGTCAGTAACAGGATTTCTATCCTCAGATGCAGATGTGGCATCATCAGATCTCTCTACTTTCTCTACTCCAATTATCTCATTGAAACTTCTTTTCTTTGAAGAAGAGGCCGGATTCTCATCCTGTTCTTTCTCCTGTTGCAGGGCCTCACTGGTTGAAGCAGGATACAAAGGAGGTTCACGGCCACTTAATCGGCAAAAAACTTTCTCAACGGTTTCGCTAATTTCCTTCCCCAAACCATTATCATCTAAAATTAAGTCCCACACCGATTTAGAGGCCTTCTCAAGCACAGGGGCCCTGCCAAAACAAGGAGAAACAATGTTTACACACGGTTGGCACAAGATGGGATAATATCAATTATCAACACTCAACAGGTTAAGACAACCAGCATTCATCAAAACACAAGAGCAAAGAGATTATCACTAACAGAGCAAAAAATTTCTGCTGTGCAGTATTTTGACACTAGAATATGTTGCCAACAAAATTTCAAAGGAAACCAATTACCATATAGAAACACCAAATTCTTTAATAGCTCATAAGCTCATATCACATAGGACAGAAGAATGCTCACATAGCCTTGACCATTGTAAAAATTACATGTCAGCAGTTACTTCACTAGTATTCAAGCTATTTGAAGCTGAACCTTATTATTCCTAGGGACTGTTTGGTTACAGGCTTGCAAGAGGATATTTTTGTGTCAATGGTCTTCCACGTAGGTTGTTTGGTTTTGCCCTCCATTTTCCACTTTTCACCAGCTTTCCTTACAACTAAGACCACTGTCACCCCTCAGGCCCTCACCAGAACCACAACTCTGCTATTCTGGTCTCTATTGCCTTGTCCCACATTTGCATCACCCTACTCTTCATTAGACCCACAACAGTAACCATACCCTTCTTTCACCCTGAAATCCTGAATCACCCACCAGAAGTCCAGAACCACAACCAACACCTCTCTCTCACCCATAAGCCCCATCCGATACACTTTACCAAACTACTACTAATAAATAACTCCCATCCATTACTAAGGTGGCTCACCCCAATCACCAAAGGTCAAGTTTAAGGCAGGTCAAAAGAGTAAGCAGACAACAAGGGAAGGCAGTTGAGTGGCAGCAAGCCACTGTGACAAACAGATGCAATGACTGATTGACTGCAGCAACAATTGAAGATAGATAAGCAGCAGAGGAGCAGCATTGTCAGTTGTGGCAGGAAGAGTGAGGAAAATGGTGGTCTACAGACGAGAAAGAACTGAAGCCAAGAGGAGGTTGTGACATTGATGGAGAGGATGAACAAGTGTGTTGGAACCCAAGAAGGGAGTTGAGAAAGATTGGAATGGTTGGAACATGGCATTATAAAGGAATTTAAAATTTCTTCCCACCTTTCCAACTATACAAAATTAATAATGGGGAGGTATTAATTTCTTTCCCATTTCTTCCACTTCAATCAAATGGCAAACAAGTTAGCTCTCTTAAGTTTCCAATATGTATTACAGGCCCAGAAAATTTGACTGCCTAAAAGGAAAAGAAAAAAAAATTCAAAAATTCATATGTTTATAAATTTTATTGGCACTCCAAGTAGTAGGACTAGTAGGTAATTGGTACCTTGTAGGACATCAGTAAGTGTACTCAGATTAAAACACACTGTACCAACTCTGCAGAAGAAGCACATACTAGACTGACTACATGAAAGGAAACAAAGACTGACTAAAAGGATGAGTGAGAAACATAACACTAGCTCTTAAAGAGAGTAAAGTTATGGTTCATGGTGAGACTAAAAGTCTTATAATTTTGAAGCCCACAAAAGAAGAAACAACTCATCGCGTTGATTAGTTGACAGCTTGACACTATCTTGATCAACTCCAATTTGTTAAGTGTAAAAAAATCATCAAGCTTGCCAACGGCTTATAAAGCTAAACCTAATACACACAAAACTCAAATTTTTAATTCCAATTCAGGTGAAATTGAGCTATTACAACATGTGAAAGTAGACATCATCATAAAAGTAACTCCCTTTCCCCGCAACCAAGGCTGCTCTTAAAAAACTGAAAAGCAACAACCATCAGGATTAGCATTACAACTTACTCAAGCTCCTGCCGAAGAGAATCAAAAAGCTCCCTTTTGGTCTGTTTTTTCTGCTCCAGGTGTGTTGAGAACCTTGCTTTGTTCCACCATTGTTATTGTTGTTTTCTTTAACTCCTCCTATAAGAGAATATACATTCATCAATCCCCATTACCCCATATAGAAGGGAAGCAATAATAATGATGATAACCCCCATATAGACGGGAAGCATTAATAATGATGATAACCTCCATATAGAAGGGAAGCTTTTAATGATGATAAGATCAAGAGCAATGAGTCATGACTCATCATGAAGCATATAAGCTATCATCTAAACCATAAGATTTACAGGCATTACAACCATTAAAAAGGGAAACTAAGTCGGGGTCCTTGGCTCAAAACCTCTGACCCACAGAGTGTATTACTTCACAAAAACAGTAAGGACTCATAGAACCTGACAACATTTGGTGGGTTATTGTCACCACCATCCAATCATCTCAAGCAAAGCAAAATCCAGAACACATAAAAAGAGGGAGGGAAAAAGGCAGACAACAAAATGGTGGTTTTCGGATACACATTTTATTAGCTTAACCACAACTCAATCTTTCAAAATGCCTAAATGGAACGTCAAACAATCCATCTACAGGGTCATGCAGCCATTCACTCCCTCCTTTAATTACTTCCAACAGATCAAACAATGCCAAATTGTAATTTTAACACATGGCATTACTAAGTCTAACATAAAAATGAATCAGTGATCATCTAGCTTCTACCATAGAAAACTTAACATGATCATAGAAGCCACCAATCCAACTAAATAGGCTCATCATCATATCCTAGTATACATCAACCTTTCGAAAAACAGCCGTGCATCAAAATCATTAAGCTTAATGTAAACCCAACCCCATGAATCTTTTTTTTAAAAAAAAAAAAAAAAAGAAGAGGGTTCTTGAATATTAAAGACTCACTTTTTTTTTTTTTCTTTTTTTTTCAGGAATTAAAGATTCACTTACATTAGCTTTTAGCTGATTGATAATCTTCAACCTTAAAGCGTCAATAGTACCATCATTCATCAAAGACTCCAAAACATCATTCGGGCTGATTACAGAAGATGATTCCATTATCTTAATTTTCAGCTGAATCTTTAATTAGCACACCTGAAATTGATACATAATATACAATTGATCAAAATAAAATTCATGAATTTACACAAAGTTTATTTATTTTTGTACCTGTATAATTTCTTTATCTGGGTTAAGAATATGATAGTTCAAGTGCAAAAATAAAATCCTGTCTAATTTATACGAATCGAATTTTAACCCTAAATTCTAAAATTGATGATAAATTAGTTTAGATTTTTGAAATTTGGAATTAATTGTAAAAGAAATTAGTGTTACCTTTGAAGAGGAGAGAAAAAACTGGGAAATTGCTGCTGCCGTACGCCGGAGGAGATTGCAGGTCTGCCCGGAGAAGCCAAGCAAAAGGAGTGCTCTTTCCCTTTTTATGCTCGCGCTGAAGGTGTAATTTTTAATTTTATTTTTAGGAATGGCAAAAGATAACGATTGGCTCTAGGCCGTGTCGATTTTGTTTCGTGTCAGACCCACGTGTTTTGGGGTTAGTTAGCCCGATTCATGAGTTTTGTGTTGTGCTATGCCTGCCTGAAGTTTTCAAAAAGTTGGCCCGTGCATGGTCTAGGCCCACATGCCATCGTGCTGGGCCGTGTTGGCTTGCATGCCTAAGCAAAATTGCATTGATTTTAACATGTTTTGTCCTGTCGGACCCAATTTTGTCGTGTCTTATCCTGCTTCTCCCAATAAAGGCTACCCACGGGCCACACACAGTACTATGTTGTGCTGTGCTTTTTTCGTGCTGGGCTTTGGGCCGGGCCATCTCGGCCCAGTGCCATCTTAAGCCACAAGGTAAATAAGAGAACTATTTTTTTTTTTAAGAAAACAAACTACAGTTATTACAACCATCAACATCCATACTACTACACACTAAATGACCACATCAGCTATCCAATCTGCTGCACAATTTGCCTCTCAATAGATGTGTTAGATACTCCAATTGCCAAATCGAGAAAGGAAAGAACGAGTGTCTTCGATAATATGTTCAATCTGACAAGGTGCTGCCCCAAATGTCTTTTATTGAGTTGATGACTAGTAAGTTATCACCTTCAATTTCAACGTCCCGAATGCCACATTAAAGAGCTAGTTGGACTACTTTATATAGAGTTGTAGCTTCCGCTATAAATATTTTGCCATTGTCGAGGTTGGACGTAGATGTCTTGATGAGTGCTCCGCTGCTATCTCTAATGATAGCACCTTCTGCTGCTGAGTTGTTATGAATTGATTCGTCGAAGTTGAGCTTGAAGAAGCGTGGAGATAGCTGAGATACTACTTCGTATTGTACTTGTATTATACTTCATACGAAGTAATTCGGATAATTTAAGAGTCAATTTACAACACTTCACCACAATCCTCCAAAACAATGTGTTGTTTTCTTTCGCAAATGACATATCTCGTGTATTATCACGAGTACATTCTAGTTAAATTAAAATTAACATACTAATAGTAATTTTGTCATGTATTTGGTACTTTGTACAAAGTATTATTTTAAGAATCATGGGAAAAAAATTCTAGTTTTGAAAAAAAAAAAAAAAAAAAAAAGTCTTATTTGTGCTTTTCTTTTGGAGCTCATTTCTTTTACGCTTGCAAACTTCTCTCCTCCACGGCTCCACCTCCATTGAACCGTACTCGGAATCCTCCATTGAAGCGGCTTCTGAGCTTTCTCTCCTCGATTGAACTGGCCTCTCCGCTTTCTTTTCTCCATTGAAGCAACTTTTGAGGTAAGATGTTTTTTCTTTCTTTTTTAGATCATTGAAATCAATTTCACAATCTAGGGTTTATCGTCAAATTAGGGTTCTTCTAAGGTGGATTATTGAACTAACAATTACAATCACTAAAGTTAGGTTAGATTAGAATGAGCAATTTCGTTGCTAGAATTTTGATATGTACACTCAACATTGTTATTCTTAATGCAAGCAGAATATTTTTGTGAGCCTACTTTGATAATTGAATCAAATTGGTTGCGAATATGTTGCAGGCCTTTGATTATAACGCTTTAATGTTAGAACGGAACTCTGAAAATGTACCTGAGCCCAGGGCAGGCGCCACTCCTGCCCCGGCTCAGGGACGGGCCTTCGCCGAAGAGGCGAAGGATCCATTGAGAGATGTGGAGTGGAAAAACATGAGTACTACAAATGATAAAGTGGAAAATGGCCAACCAATTACGAAAAAACGGCTTCCGAAGAAAATTAGGCAGATCCCAGAATGTTATTTCCTTCCCAGGAAATCTATACCCTCTGCAATTGCATTTTATGGATCCTTTATTGTAGCTGGAGTTGGTGCTGGCATGCTTTGGGAAGTTTGGATCAACAAGAAAGTTAAAGGTATGGGCTTTGTTAGGATTAGCTTGCAATGTACAAGTGCATATCTTCGTGTTTTTCTGTGTAGTAGGTTACATTGCAATAATTAGTTGCTTAATAAAAGTGCATTTGATTGTGATCATGGTTGAGGGTCGTCTAATGAATGCACGGTTGATATCATGGTATTGTTCTATCTATCGATATTGTATGAGGGATTGTTCTCTCTTGCTCTTTTTAAGTTTGGTAAATGACAAGAAATTGTTGTCAATTCCAATGGAGCTGAATGGTTTGTTTGGGTATTAAGAATAATGGGTTAAATCAAAATGGTAGTTAAGATTCTTATTTACTCCTTATGAAGAAGCACTTTGTTGTTGGCTTGTTGCTTTTGTTATCAAGGGTAATGCTTCTTCATTGCTGATTGGTAAGGTTATGTAATTTTAACCGACGACTCCCTTTATCTTATCTCGGGTGGCTCTTTGTGGCATTGGAGTAATGTTGAAGATGTTGAACCTGCAATGAGATGAATATGATTATAAATTCTACGAATTTGCTTCCTTGTGAGTTGTGAATTTTATCCTAGATCCTAGAAGCCTTGGATTATTTAGTTTGTTCACCTCTGCAGATACTCCTTGTATATTGCTGCACTCTTATAGACAAATTATGAAAATTTGTTTGGCATAAAAATGTGAAACTGATGTTACTGGAACTCGTAAATTGCTGCTAGAAATTCACTTTTGTCTTTCGTGGTGCCCCTTATTATCTCTATAAAACGAATTTTTTTCCATCTGAAGTTGGCTCTTTGAAATGATTGCAGAGGATGGGGGTATTATCTGGGAGTTCAACAAATGAAGCACTACGGAATCCATTGTCTCCATCACATTTATGTAGGCCTTTTCTTTATCTAGCTGAATGGTTCCTAACTCTGAAGGGGTTGTGCATAAATTTTGTAAGACTTTGCTTTGAAAAGGCTTTTTTTTTTTTGTTTTCTTTCATTCTATTTGCTGATTGATTTCTTGTATGACTCACACTGCCTAGTTGATGAAGGTTTGGTCGATATAAAGTGTTGTAGACATTTTAGTTCAATGGCTATGATAAGGAGAGCATAATTGTATGACTGCCATGCTTGATGCATTAATGCAGAAACAGAGCTCATGTGCTTGTACTGATCAGGCTATCTCTACTCTTTATGGGTTCTTTTTCGGAGAGCATTGTAGTTACAAAACTTGACGAATCTGTTCTGTGTTAACTTTAGGCAATAATCAACTATCATTCATCTATTTTTATGTCAAAGGCACTGGAACTTCAGGTTTGTGGTCTAATGCCATCAGTGTTTTGACTTCATCATCCGTATCCTGCTGTCAATGCTCTCTTTTGGAGAGTATATTTTATGCAAATTCATTAATGCTAACACTTGAGCTTCCAGCCTCTTGCTTGTCTTTTGGAAGATATTGAGAGTTATTTTTATATTTTGGTTTTGGTAGACTTCAAATTCACAATGTTAGAGATATGAGGTGGAGTAATCAATGTCAGAATATACATTTGTGTGATTCCAGGATAATATTACTCCTCGGTTGTGTAATTAATCGCAACACATTCCCTTTTCATCCGTTTCGTTGTTTGATTTTCTGGCTGAAATCTATCTTCTTTCCATCAGAAAATGGAGAAGGACGAGCTGAAATGTGTTATCATCTTTCAGATTCAATGTATTATTATCTTTATAACTTGAACAAATTTGTTTCTAACTGACTTGTTTCCGCTAGACAAATTGCCATAAATGATTATATAATATGTGCCATTAGTTACTCCTTAATTACCGAAAATGTCGTTTCAGTTTAAGGGCAAAAAAATACTCGCTAATGGCGTGTGTTACACCTAAATGAATAGTTGGTGGTGTGTAGCGACTAGTCATAATTCAGAGGGTTGGGTGCATTCATCCTATAGTTCACACCTTCACGGTGTTGAAAATTTGAAACCAATTTTGTCCACCTTTTATTATATTGTTCATCTAAAAATGTCTAAGAAAACTGAATTTTCTTGCGTCTCTCACTGTTTAAATCCAAGATAAAATTGAGTTCTAAAAATATATACAGTACAAAGGTAGAATTATTCCGATTAAGATAAATTGTTGATATAAAGGCCATATAAATTATTGTCATTGATAAAGCGGCAAATGTTTAAAACTTTAAATGGTCGATAATTCCATTCTAAAATTACCGAGAGTTTTACCGGTGGTCAATAATAAAGCGTCTGTAAAAGTCGCTTTCTTGTGGTGCATCACATCACGGTAGTCCAAATTGTCTCCAAGTAGCCATTTAGCCACCATTATCCTAATTATCTACTCGTATTATTTTTTGTTTATGTTTGTCCTTAACATATCATTATTGGCTTTATTGCTCTTTTGTCGCTATGTTTGGTGGGTCTCCATTCTCCCTATTTCATCACATGTCTATATTCTCATATACTTGTTTTATTTATAACGAGTTAATGCCAATCCCTTCTTCTCCACACCTTTTTTTCTTTTTTCGTTTTTTTAGTTTTGAGATTAACAATTTTTAAAAAGTTTTCTATTTTGTGATAACACCAAAAGCAAAAGCAAATGGGAAGAGTAGAGGGTTACTTTACTCCATCATCTTAATCTTTCAATTTAATACTCCGTAATATATATTTATCTAATTCTAAATCGGATTTATTTTAAATACTATGGACTTTTTTTACTTTTGAAAAAATATTTTTATCGTTATCTAAGATATTAATTTATCAACGGAAAGCGATAATTGAAGGTGGGGCCATTGGTGTCGAAAACGATTGCACAACCACTATAAGGTGGCGCCACCAACAACATAATTCAACCAAAAAAATTAAGATAAGCCAAATAAAAATAAAGTTTCAAGTAACAAATTATTATCATTAAAATTCTAAGGTACTATACTCAACTACTCATTTTAACTTTTGTTTTCAAAATAATGTAAATATGGACTAATTAAGAAGATTCTTCCCAAATAACTATTCATTTTCACTTGATCACCATTGAAATAGAGACTGAGCTTGAATTGAAGATGATATATATTTTTTTAAAAAAAAAACTATTTTGGTAAATAATTAGTACAATATTAAACAATAATATTAATGCAGAAATAAATAATTACATAATCAATTATAAATTGGGAAATAGAATATGGATGTTTGTAATTGGTATGTTAATGAAGCCATTGCCTCATAAAAAAATTCCAATATAAAAACTCTAAAAAGAAAAAAAAAAAAAGACTGAGAAGGTCAACAAAAATGCTAAAAAATCTCTTACTTGTATTACAATTTGTGTCCTAAAAAGTTACTTATTTGTCCAAGTAATTAATCTAATAATTATGGACTGATTATCAGAATTTGAAAGTTGAAAAAAAATGATTCCAAATTCCCACATCTTTACTCCGTAATTTACTACTGGATACTCCGTAATTTACTAGTCGTATGTTCAATCAACTAGAAGTTCCAAAGGTAAGAGTCTTGGTAAAGTGAAGCATCATAAGTTTCCTCGGCCACTTGACCAGCGTAATCAAAATTATTATTGGACTCATGTTGTGTTGCAAAATAATCACCCCCTGTAAAATCATCAAACCCGGTTAAATACCCGAAATCCGACACGTAATTACCCGACCCGAGTGCATTACTCAAACTTAATTGATCTTGAAATGACGCCTCTACCCCTGCAACCTCAAAACTACTACTAGTATATGTATAACCATCTATTTGAGTTGTTGCTGTTGTTCCATCCGACATAGATGGTGAGTATGACAACGCCTCACCCGACTCCTCCACCATAGGATTCTCCTCTAATCGGCCTCGATCATCCTCATTTGTCGAGTTATTAGCGAACCTAGAGGCCGCAACTTGGATCTCAGACGGAGTCATTGATCGTCCTCCAACAATTTCAGGTGGATTATCGGGAAAATTAAAGTTAGCGGATTTGCCACGTAAACAAAATTGTGCCGCGTCAAATGCACGTGCTGCCTTCTCAGCCGTGTCATACGAACCTAGCCAAATCCTCTCCCTACTGTTAGGGAGACGGATTTCGGACACCCATTTACCCCACTTCCTCTTGCGTACACCCTTATATTTAATCGAGTTAACGTTGCTACTGTTGTCGTTTGGCTGGTACTCCGGCGATTTCTTGACCATTTTGAAATGATCGAGTTGAGAATTGAGAGTGTAACGGATTTTAAGTTGGATGAAGAGAGTGATGCAAATGAGGTGGTTATATATATGTGTGTGTTTTGAGGTGGGATAAGTCAACACATAAAAAAGAAGCGTGTGTTGGTCAAAGGGGGGAGAAGAGTCGCACGTGGACAAGGGATTAGTGAATAAGGGAAATATTACGCGGTTGATTTGAATTTGTGATTGTGCTAAATAAATAAGAACCACGTGATAGTGATTTTTTTGTTAAAATAATGACTAATATATTATACATTTGCCACGTGTATAGAATAATCAAGTAGCACTATCTTGGAAAGAGCCGTAAAGCCGTAAAGTGGACCCCACTTCAAGGACTGAGGGACTGCACGCAGCAAATTCTCGAACACAGTAAGAGTAACATCATAGAAAACTACTTGTACATTTTTTATTTATTTTTTTTTTTATTTTTTTTTTACTAATGACCATATCGATATACAACAACAAGGAAATGAGCCAGGTCGGAACGAAAAATGGTCCGACCTGATACGGTACGAGTCTATGAGATGCCACGTAAGTAGGTTTGAGTCGTGTATGAGCTTCATTTTTAGGAATATTTGGCACGAGTACGATGAAATGACTATTGTTTTAGATTTCTAATCTATCTTACCAATTTATCAAGAGATAAACTTTGAATTATTAATTAGGTGGTCCATCGATACAGACTACAGAGTATTTCATTCTTAGACATAACTGTTTTGAGTATGAGTTGAGCATGAGCTAGCACGATACATGGGGTCAATATAGCATGATTCGTGTCTTTGGTTACAGCTAACAACCTACAAGTGTAATTTCTTCGTGGAAAACTTTCATCTTTTTCAAATAGTGAAAAAAATGAGAAACGATTGTTGAAGAAGAGCGTAGATTATATTAGAGTTCTAATACTAAGTTGAGTGCTCGAGTTTCAAAGTCATACTGTATTAGATTAAAAAACATGGATGAAGAACTTTATCATGTTTTTACTCTTTGTTTATAAGCGTATATATGTAATATATTACCTCTGTTTCTAATTAGTTACACAAAAGAGGTATTAGCCGTGAGACACTGAGACATAAAATATTCCTTTATTACAACTAACAAGAAACGAATGTACTTGTTTTTTTTCTTATCCTATTCTCCAAAGCATAGTTTTATATAACCTTACTATTTTGCTAGCTAGCAAATTAAAACCCGTTTTGGCAAGGAGTACGTGTTATCTTTGTTATTTTTGCCCCACAATGTTTGTGAAAGTATATATTGCTCTCTTTTACTAAGGACCTTAATGGGCCAGGTGATTTGGACAAATCATAACTGTCCAATATACAAGTATTTGTTTTTTGTTTTTTTTCTCAAAACCAAATTGATTTTATTACCCCATAGAAAATTAGAAATGAACATATACGTAGTATAATTTAAATTGGCCCTCGGGCCTCGGCCTCCTAAATAAAATCAGATAAGTGGTAACATGTATATTATGAGTACATTTTACAAAGAATCATATGCATATAATTTGAACGCTTTGAGAATTACAATAGTAATTTCAATTACCTTTCTTTTTATTCAGGAGTTCCGATCCAATAAAATAGTTCATAAAAAAAATAATCATCAAATAAATTTAAGAATTTCCACAATATTTTTTTAATACTCTTTGATGTATTTGGTATTTAATTATATATCATGTTGTCGACTTGTCTTAGATACTCTTATATATACTCTGTATAAGTCATAACCATAGAAAAATAGAAAATCATACTAAATATGAGGACTATATACTTCATAGTCCATACGTACAAAGTATATTTTGCCATACACAGTTCATGACTCTATTTCACAATTTTTTTTTCTTAAAAGTATACCTAAGGCTAAATGTTCCCACTTCATAATAAAAGTAATCACAATTACATACTTGTAACATATTACAGTATTATAAAACTCTGTATGTCAGCAACATGTTCCCACTTTCTAATACTTATTATACCACTACTTCGTATTAGATTAGTAATTTAGTATTGGCATTGTACGAATGAAGAATATATTCAAGCACGTTTTAACGACTAATTAGATGCTTAGTTTAATGACATAATGGGCTTTACGTCAAAATTTATGTACCTTATTATTTGTCCTTATTAGTAGATAAAGATGATCTCTGCTTCGTAAGTAGCTTCAATATTATTCTATTCATGTGATTCATATCAAATCCTTTTTCAAGTCAGTTCATTTGGTTCCCTTTAACTTTATGACATCCACCATACTTTTTTTTTTTATTTTTTTTATAACGACTCTTGTAATCTTGTTACATTCATGGTACGGTACGGTATTGCCATAGAAAATTTGTTGAGAACATAACAAGTGGTCAAATTTCCCCTCTTCCTAGAAGGTGATTAAGATTATGCTTATTCTACTTAACTTTGTTTAATTTATTGTTTAGTAAAAAGTTATTATTTTTAAATTGTACTGATAAGGTTTTATTTAAATAATTTTTAAAATTTAAATAATATTATAATCCAAATAAGGTTATGTTCTCTTCAGCTCAATTTTAGTTCAGTTCAGTTCTAATTTTATTTTCTCATAAGCAATTCATTTCAACTCAATTCAGTAAATTCTATTTCGAACTCATAAATTAAAACATAAAATCTTGCGTAAGTTGTACACTGTACACATACATGATAAACTTTACAATATGTATTGTAAATTTCACATATATACTTTAGCGTAGTGACTTATACATTGACATATTGAGGTTTGGCATGGATTGATCCTCATATTACTATCCTAATTTATAAAATATAGACTTTTACTTTAATATAGCATAGTGTCTTTTTTAATTTATGAACTAGTGAGATGGTATGGTAACCCAAATGTACCCTTTTCTTACACGGTTAGTAGCAAAGACCATAGACCATGAAGAATAAAGAGAGTCAAATATTATTCAACATAACATCAAATAAACTCATGTAACTCGACACACAGTTAATACTAAGAGAATGTTCCTTATAATAATTACCTCCTTGACTAATACCGCGCACTCATTGGTGTAAACTAAGGAACGCCGCCAAAACATAGTTGCATTATTGTCAAATTAATTCTGCCATTTTTTCATCAACTACTACATTATTTTTTTGAAGGAAAAAAAATACATACTACTCGTATATTTTCTACCCTCAAATTAAACTTTAGGTTTTTTATTTATATTTCAAATGTTGAGTAAAATAAAGAGTTAATTTTATAAGACAAATTAAATATCGAGAAAGAGTTTAAGTCAAAGGGTGAAGTCGTTTATCGTTAACGCGTGGTTGGTTGAAACTCAACCCGTACATGTACATGAAACATGAGTATATAGCCATGCAAAACCCCCTTACGTCATTGCAAATGATCGCATCATAGATACTTCGTATGTGTCATGTGTCAACGTCCTTATATCATTGCTGAGTAATAAACCATACTTCTATGTCATCCCTATGTTTTTTTGTATAAGATTATCCAATCTTATTATGAGTGACTTAAACTTGCTCTAAGAGATTTTTTCTTTTATTATTGTATGTATTGTGAAAAAAAAAATGATACATATAGCTATGTATATAAGAAGCTAAAAAACAAAATAATAACGATTATTATACATCATAAACGTACTCTCAATTTTTATTTTTATTTTACAATTTTAGAAAATACCTTTTTTTTTTAATAAGTGAAACATTTTTCATAGGCACTTATTATGTGGATACAAAATTTAATACCTTTAATCATCAACATAATAATTGAATTTCAATAAAATTCCTCATTGACACGAGTCTAATAAGTACCCATAAGATTATATTTTATCTTATATATAGATCACCAATAGAGTATCAATTAGTCAAGTGATCAATTAGGTAATCAATGGCTGATCTTGGCCGAAAGTATAAAAGGGGCTGAGATTTGAATATTTATCTCTCGCTCAAAAGTAATCACTATGTCTAGATATTTTATAAGTAAAATAAGATTATTCAATTAATCATCAACATAATAATTGAACCAGGGACCGGGCTACAAGCCTGCAAATAACCCCGATAAGGCGATAAAAAGTATCCATTTGTGATAATAATAGTGCAAAAAGTCACAACATTTCACTTTACAAAAATACAGAGAAGTATATATATAATTAATTCTTATTTTCAATCCTAACAACTCGATTTACTATGACAAAAACATTAAAGAGGTAAAGTATAAAGAGCAAGAAGAAGATCGAGTGAAGTGAAAGTTTAAAATATGGTGCACTAAAGGCTTTACACGGTTTGTTGGACCACGGATTCCCCTGAGCAGTGGATACATAAATACATCCCATGACATCAAACAGTAAGTCAAAAATAGTGGAGTAAAAAATAATGTACTCCTACTACTCTACAATGTCTTAAGAAAATGACCCACAACACACATGTTGCATATAATATAATCATGCATGATAATATGACCCAAGCAGTAATAAACGTGGAATTTTGCTTTCTTGTTCCTACTTAACGCCGCCTTTTGGCATATAATATAGACTACTCACATACTTTTGTCAAGACTTTGCTTAATACATGTATTATTATTAGTATATTATACGTTATGTCATGTAAATCATATACACCCGTGTATTATTTTAAAACTTGGGTGAACTTGTTTTGAAAAGTCGCATGTCTATCTATTCACATATTATTAAAAGTAGGTCAACTCATTTTAAAAGACTCATGTTGTCTATTTTACACTCACTTACTTTGTATTTTTTTAATGGCTAGTAAGCTTGGATTATGATGTAAAAAAAAAACCTTATGTATTTGCTTGTCAGTAGAAGAAAAAGTAATTCAATTAATTTTTAACATATGTTTATACTCCCTCCGTTACGAATTACTCGCAACAATTACTAAAAATGGCTGGTACACATTACTTGCAACAAACTTATTTATTTCATTTTATGGTAAGTTTTTTTGTGTGATATTACAACATTACCCTTACTTTTTTTCCTAAACACCCTAATTAAAGTAGGGATTTTATCTTATTAAGTTAAACCCTAACATTGGATTAATACTAAGCACATCCCTTATTTTCTAATAATCACACTTAAGAAATTTTGCCTAGGAGTCCGCAAACTCCCTCTTTGTAGCGAGTAACTCGTAACGGAGGGAGTAGATGAAAACGAGTCTACCACAAACTATGGAGGATTTGGTGAAATATACGAAGAGTAGCTTTAACGTTACAAACACTACAAAAGAAACACTAGTACAACCTCTTTACAATAAGTAGCCGGTTTGAAAATTATGGGA